GTCCTAACAAGATTTGAGTGACCCAAGTTGATCGAGTCGATTTGAGTCGTTTTGTTGTCGAATTAGTTATTTATGCATGATTTTTAAGAGAAACCAGTTTGGTTGGTTGGGTTGCGATTCAATTACAACACAAAATCCAACTTAACCCAAATTTCCCTAATGCCCTATTTGATAGCATGTATTTTCCATGGAAAATGGAATTAAAATTTCATTTTCCATGTTTGGCAGTGTTTGATGTCAAGAATTTGCCATGGAAAAGATACCAAAAATTTTCCCTTCACGCGCCAAGTTCTAGGCTTGAAGGGAAAGTATTTTCCCACCTTTTAGGTGGGAAAATCAAATTCTGGGTTCTGTTAATTTTTATTATTATTATTTTTTTAGTAATAGAAACAAATTTCATAACCAAGTGTAAAAAAAAATTTCACTTTTATGAACAATTTTGATGCAAACGAAGGTCAAATGAACATTAAACTTTGATAAAAAAAAATGATTTTTTAGAAAACATTTTTTTTTTATTTACTTTTTGGCAATTGAAATAAATTTTATAACCAAGGGTGGAAAAAATTATCACTTTAACGGACAATTTTGATACAAACCAAAGCCAAATTTAAAAATTTTCTGAGTGAAAAATTATACCAATCAAATACACTTAGGTAACAATTCCCTGTAAAACAATTTCTAGACAATTACTTTCCTTGGAATTCATTTTCTTTCCACCAATTTTTCACCATTGCAATCAAACGGACCATAAGCGTCTGTTTGTTTCTCATCATTTCAGCATAAAAATAAGAATTGTTACCGTTATATTCAAAGTTGTGGGCCACCAAGTGAGAAACAAGTCAACAATAATGGTTGTTGCACTATGCAACAGTCTGAAACCGGAAATCTTAAGTCTCCCGTTTCTCTTGTAGACATCTCTTATTGTAATTTCTATCGACCTCCAAGAACTTGTCCGTAAAGAAGGAATTCTCGACACCATGTCGAGAGAGAACTGTTAAAAATTAAAATATAAAGCTCATAAAAAAGGAAAAGTTCCACCAATTATTCAATTTAAGTTTTCAAATTTCATTTTCATTAAACCTTAAAATTTTGCCTAATCTAAATTCAATCACAAAACCTAAAACTCATACCACCACCACCACCACCGTCTTTACAATTTTTGCCGTCGACCATCACCGCGGCTTCATCCAGCCAACTACCACCACAATGAGATCCATATGGATGAATGCTGCCCATTTTTCAAAGGTTTGGAACAATGTAACCAAAAAATGGTTCAAAACAAAAGTACAAATGAAACTAAAAGTTAGGTGCCATAAAACTCGAGATAATTTAATCAATGATAACTGAATTTTGCTATAAATTACTACTTCTTCACTGGTCTTTGAAAAGTTACTTGGTGCTCACTAAACTTTGTTATATGTTACTACTTGCTCATTGAAATTTAAAAGTTTGCTCGTTGCTCATATAAATTTGAACAAAGTAACTAGTTGCTCACTGAACTTTACTATAAATAAATTGATGAAAATAATATGAGTGATTGATGAATAACTTTGTTTAAATTTGGATGAGTAATAGATAACTTTTTAAATTTTGGTGATGAAGTAGTAACATATAACAAAATTTAGTGAGTAATGAGTAACTTTTAAAAATCGGTGAGCAAGTAGTAACCTATAGCAAAGTTCAGTGACCATTGATTAAAATAACTCCATAAAACTCAGAGTACATACATTAATTTTTAATTTTTTTAGAAAAAATTCACACCTCCACCACTAGTTGCCAACTTAGAAATGTCACTTCAGAAGATTTGCCTAAGATTTGTAAGCATAATTTTGAATTATTTGACTCAAAATGGTGTCTATAACTTGCAAGCAGCAAGGTGGATTCTCTTGACATAATTTATTGTCCATTGAATTGTACTATTCAACAAGCTTTGCTACATCTATCTCGCGAGAGTGAAGCAAAATGAAAAGAATTCAGCACATCACTTCACGATTTACCGAAACTGGTAGCTATAGGGATGATAACAAGGAGAATGAGCACAAGAAGAAGCACAATTCCAATACAAAACCATCTTCTGCTGCTCCTCTTGTGCTCTTTTGCAATCTTAAGGTTCTTAGTCCCATCGCTCACATACTCAGACGCATTTGTGACATAGTGTTCGATATCTTCCATTTGCTCACCTTGTGCTTCAACCATCACCGCCATGTCCAGAAATATCTGGTGCAGCTCCAGTAGACTCTTCTCGATTTCCTTGGCCGCGTCATGGCGGTCTTGGATCTCCACCACCGTTTCTAACACCTTCCCACGGCCGTGCTCCTAGAAACATTGTAGTCATTACATCAAGAAAGTTAATAGAAATGTTAGCAAATAGTCTAAAATTGAGATAATTGAAAGTTCGGAATTGAGGAAATTGTTCAAGAAAAGTTGCAGAGATTTTTAATAACAAAAATGTTGAGCTAAATACCTGTATGGCTTTAGACAGAAATTCCTCGCCACCACGGCCATCACCGCTAGAGATTATCTTCTCAATCACCTCCTCCTCCGGGGACTCACCCGTCACCATGAAGTACCTTCTCTCCACAGTTTGCTTATATTCAGTCATCATCTTTTGCCTCAGGCTCTGAAAATCCATCATCAGCTCTTTAAGCTTATTCCTCAGCCCATTCGTGACTGCGGAACGTGTCCTATCCACCGGAGTTCCCTCCTTACACCCGGAAAGTCGTCTATTCAATGCATTAGACCTGTCCATTTCCTCCAATTGGGATTTTATGGTCCTGGATTTCTTCAAAACTGCTACAATTTGTGAATTTATTTGATTTCGTAGCGATTTCAGGGCTTGGGGATTGTGAAGGGATTTGCTTTCATCATTGGCCTGTTTTAGTTGAACTAAGAGTTCTTTGATTGAATCCATCTCTGTTTTCACCTTCTCTGCTTGTTCTAAGAAGGCAGTGAGGTTATGGTCGATTTGGGTCATCCCCATTTCGATATCGGGTCCGTCACCGAGATCTTTCAGTGCTTCCTTCTTTAGATCTAAGTAGCTTGTGAAAGACTTTGTCATCAAATCATTCATCTTGATACTCTGTGTGTGAGAGAGAGAGAGAGAGATGAAAATGGAAATTCAGATGCAAAGAGAAAAATTAACAGTGTATCACTTTTGAATAAATAGCCGTTGGGCTTGGACGTAACGGCTAGTGGATTTGAATAAAATAATATGTTTTCTTGGAGACACATAGAATGGTTTGGGCTTCCGATTTTTGTGTTCAGGGGTGGCGACTCAGCCCATGAGCGACCCGAACCTAGGCTTGGGTCAAGTTAACATGCTGCAAAAATTTGAACAATTCGTTAGCTTAGCTCGATGAATGAAATGAAATAAGAAACGATTAATATAATAACACGGAAAAACATGAGATGAGAATACAAAATAACAAGTGAATGTTGTGGTCGTATGAATTGTAAGTTGAGGAAATGATGACTTATGTAACTTGTTTCGATTGGTTGAGCTTTCCATTTTATACAAAAAAGTAGTGCATTATCGATTTTATTAACTTATCTAAAATCACTAACGAGTCTTGAGATTATTACAAATCTTTATAGATTTTGAAGCAGATCGACTATGCAAGTAATCTTTGACTTAAGTCAACTCGGATCGAGATGAAAAAAAGAAAGAAGAATTAATGGAAAAGAAGAATTTTGGTTGGGGTTGAGTTTTCTTGTCTTGTCACGACTAGGATTAATTTGAATAAATCTTTGGACATAAAATGAACTCAGCACCAGTTCAGATTGCTCATTTGGGGTCTGGTTAACAATAACCATGGATTATAAAAACTTGAAGAATGTATTCTAACATAGAAAAATTTATGTAGTCAAACACATTACACAATTTGAAGGAATTACATCAACCCTTGATCCCCTTTTGCCCAGATTTTCTTCTATTGGGGGAAGAGGCGCGGCCGGATTTCTTGGGTCGATCATTACCTGTATCGGTGAACAAATCCTTGTATTTCTCCAGTATCCGTCCCTTCTCTTCAGGTAATCCCAACATCTCATATGCATCGGCTACTTTCTGCACGATCGATTTTTCCTGGGGTTTCCGGTCAAATGCTTCCAAGCCTTTGAACAGCTTCACAAGATCCTCGAGCATGTTATTACGATAATAAATAGATATCATAAGATCACACAACTTCCAAGGAACGGAATGTAAATCCGATGCAAGTTTCTTCATCCAGATATCATGTGCTTCTTTTGCTCTATGGTCCATATCTAGAGCTCGGATCAACTGCCCGTATGTTCCCCTCGTGGTGCCCTGCCCTTTACTCAGAATCCATTTAATAACTTGGACTATTCTATGCCACTGTTGCTCTTTCTCGAGAGCAAGTAATACGTTCTTCAACGGGCCAATAGGGAAGTTCCGTTCCCAAGCAACCCAAGCATCAAGGGCCCCATATATAGCTTCTTTATCATCACCGAGATCCATAAGTAAGTTGATAAGAAAGCTAATTCTGTCCTTTCGAGAAATATTTTCTCCTATTAGACGCCTGGATACAGCTGCACCATCTTTATGAGGTTGATTTTCTGAGGATTCCGTCAAACCTGCACTGCGTTGCCTGTGGACCCGATCCTGTAGTGTACTGTAATTGGAAGAGAGTGGTCGAGCCCTTACTGTTATAAGCTTGTTGATTTGTCCAGACAGCTTCATTATGGATGCTGATCTCAACATTGCTCTCAATTCTAGTCACTGCAAAATTAAATATAGCTTAAACTCAACATATACATCAATAGAAATAAAGCATTAGGACTCAAATGAAGCCTTATCAATATGATGATGGTGATGTAGATGACAGGTACATAACTTAGGGCGTGTTCGGTAGAGATTAAAATCGGATTAAAATTGAAAAACTAGCCGTTATTGTTGACTTTTATTAGACGAGTGAAACCCAATATATTTTCAATTTTAATTAGATTTTAAGCTTAGCCAAACATGCTCTTAATCTAATTAACATTCACCATCAAATTCAACACAAAACGGGAAGTATATAACAGCTTATACGTAATACTCTTCTCTTAAATGACGTTTAAAACCTAAAACCCATGTTCCAACCTTTTAGCTAATTCTGACCTTGCTAGTTAACTTTGGAATATGATTTCCATCTACCCTCACCAAAAATCTTTTCGAAAAGAATTATTCCTGGAATGTCAATTCAAGAATGCCAACCACATTGCAAAAAACCCTTCTTTGGTTTAAAATTTAACTTATTCATGAATCGTTAAGTTGGGATATTAGACCTGCATTTGAAACAAGATTCTCATGTTTAAGTTTTATTCAGGCATTTTGTCGAACATTGAAAACACAATGTATAACACAGCGTCAAAACACACACCAATGACATAACAGGCATAATTTTTCCCAAATCAATTTAAATTTAACCAATTTACAACTTTCACAAACTCATTTCTTGCAATCAGCTGACAACCAATTTTCCTCAACAAACATGCAAGAAATATAGAAAAGAACAAAGACTCTTGAATAGCAAGCAGGAAGTGCTGTTTTTTCTTCATTTCATTTTAATTAAATAAGCAAATACAGCATTGAAACACGGTAACAAAAAGAAAATAAAAAACTCACCCCTCTATTCAGTATCCTTGAGGGAGCTTCGGAGTCGTTTTCTTGGAGAAGTAGGACCTCAACTGATGGCATTACACATATTTATTAGATATGTAATTTCCCTTAGCAGAACTCACAGCAGTAGCAGAAATTGGAGCATTTTAATACCACAAATTGTCAAATACATTGAAAGAATAAGTCCCAATTGCAAGAAATTACTTATTGAAATAAAAGGTAAAATTTAATAAACTTGTCAGATAAATTTCAGATTTATTGCTTACATAAAATCTACTACATACACGGCAGATAAATGCTAGATTTATTGCTTAAGCAAATCTACTAAATAAACGGATAAACATAACAAGAAGGAAGATTAATGGAGATGGTAGGAAACAATTACAAAAAATTAGCCTAAAAAACAATTACAAAATATCTCAATCGCTTTACAATTAAAGTTTTCAATACAGTTACTACGTGTGCCTGTGCAATTGATCCTACGTGCTACAATAACCATTCATATAAGCCGATCAGGCCACAATTATATAAGTCGACAAGACTTCAAGCATTTTCAATATATTTAATATCAAGTTAGGACATGTCATTGCTTACTTGAAAATTAGAATTTCGACGAAAATTATGGAATCAAACCCTTCAGAATTCCACCGTCACATCTCACAAGCCTGAAGCCTGAAATTTTGATTTCAGGCTAACCTCGGCACCAATAAAAGGTCAAAACATTCAAAAGCCTGAGCTTTATTTCACACGCAACTTCAACTTAATCTAGTTAAATGAAAAACGATTCTTCCATATAGACTAAAGATTCTCCCGTTCTGAAGAGTTCTCGATAGAAGATATATGAATCCAAATTCACATTGAAAAGTTGAAGTAGATCAAAATATATCTCAAGTAAATTAACTGTCAATAAAAAATAAAAAATGTAAAACGGAATTTCATAGCCAACTGGAAGTCTAGAAGTCGGAAGATACTCCTTTTAGGTGAAAACATTAGCAAGAAGCCAAGAAGTTTTTTCTTNGCCTCTTCACAGGGACAAACCGGCAAACCCTATAATGTTTTCATAAAAATCAGTGGATTCCTCAACTGATTTGCACACCAGAGAAATATGATTCAAAGATGATAAATGTAAAGGGTTTCCCGTTTCCCATATTCTCCAAGAAATGCAAGATTTGGTTTTAGAGAGAGTGTATTTATACATATATGTGCTAAAGAAAAACACGGTCGACGTTATAAAACACAAAATAAACGTTATTTACCTAAATTACCTGCTCAGAAATCAGAATTGGTTTGGAGTCGGACAGGGACTCATCATTCATCAATCACAGATTCACAGTCGACGGTCGACCTCGAACTCGAAGAGCGAACAAACGGCGCGGACCGCGCGATTAGGGTTGTGAAAGAGTGAAGCCTTCGAAGTTCGAAGGGAGGGAAAGGAAATGAGGAATACAAGGGGAAGGAAAGTGAAGAGACGAGACCGGAAACGGCGTCGGCGCTGCGGTTGGGGTAGTATTGTAGTCGTAGAAAGGGAAGGAGATGGCTGTACTCTTCCGTCTTCATTCGTTTACAAAAAAAAAAAATGTGGGCCAAAAAATGAGGCCCCTGCAGTTTTGGGCCTCAGAGCCGGCCCTGATACAGCAGGAGCTGATGATCAAAAAACAAAGAGGGACTTCATTTTCAAGAAACAGTAAATCATATCCCATTCACATAAAAAGAAGTGTCTACCCTTTCGAGGGTGACCGAATTGGTGGAGCAGGTGAACACGGAGACCAAATGTTTCGAGTTCGAATTCCCTGCTAACACTTCCTCGGTCGAGGCCGTCGCACTGTACTTGCCTAATACAGTTTATCTCTTCTGTGTGGTTTGCGGGTTATTGCACATGGAACGAGATTTATCTAATGCGAACTCACAGTGGTCGGGCCTCCACCCATTCGGGGTGGTCAGAGTTCCGCGACTGGTAGCGGCTGCGAGTTCCTACGTAAAAGAAAAAAAGTGTCTATCCTAATGCCTGATAGAATGAGCATTTCATGGATTACATAGATGACTTGAAATATTGTATACTCTAGTTCCTGTAGACTAATATACAACCTCAATGTTCTATCATCAACCAAAACTTTTCTTTGAAATAATATGGTGTTCAAAATAACATAATATTAATACATACTAATACTACTTGACAAACAATATTTATTAGGCTAGAGTGAAGCAAATTTACTTTGTTAAGAAGTGAGGCTAACTTTTAAAGAAAATTTTAATATGTTTGGAAAATAAATATACTTAAAAGTAACTTCTTAGACAAACATGTTTTGCTAAGCTTAAAGGATAACTTTTCTTTAGGCTTAGCTGAACATGTTCTTAATTCTAGCAGTATAATTATTGGTTTGAATAACAAATTTAGGCCATCAAGAGGTTTATTGAGGACTATTCTATACAAGAGATTGTGATGTAGGAGGATACGAGTCAGACGAGGTCGAGCTGTCTGATAGTACGTTAATAGCGCTGAGTTACCATGAGTTGGCGGATCAGCGCAAAATTGGCAAATAATCATCGACATCTCCTAATTGGGGCTTTTTTGTACACGTTTGAGTATTTTGGCCATAACTTTGGCTACGGTTGTCAGAATCACGCCATGACCCGAATTCGGAAAGCTCTTTTCGGCTTGCACATCGTGGTCACCCAGCTATGCTCGGCGTACATCGTTTTCGAGGCCAAATTCAGCTGTTTTCCCTTCTGAATCATCAATTTAAGCTATTTTTTGCCATTTTTAGTAATATTTCAATTTCCTTTTTGACATAGATTACAATCTCAAATTAAGTCAGATTTTTTGGATCTTATTTCTGTCATTA